GGGGGGGAGGGAGGGGGTGTACATTCTGAGCATGCTCAGTCCGGACTGGGGGGAGGAAGTGTAGTTTACTCCTGTGTAACATGTGCGTGTGCGTGTGTGCGTGTGCGTGCTGTGACATGTTTACAGTGTAGGTCCGTGTTCCGTGTGCGTCTGGCAGTTCCTCCCTTTACTTTGCTGATGTTTACAGCTGCAGAAGCCACATATTGTAAATTTCACACCTTGTTTTTTTTGCGTTCTCACCTGCCAGGTTCTTCGTGTGTGTGTGCGTGTGCGTGCGTGTGTGTGCGTGCGTGTGCGTGTCTCTGTGATGTTTGTGCATGTGCGGTCGGTCGGTCGGTCGGTCGGTCGGTCGGTCGGTTCCCCCCACGTTGTGTTTGTGCTCGGGCAGGTCCGGCTGACTCGGTGGTCCCAGCGTGGAGCCGCTCGACGGGGCTTATTTATTCATTTGTTCATATTTAACAATATTTGTTTAATATTGCGATCATGTGAGCTGTTACTCACTCTTCAGAATGCCAAGAGCTGATGTGTGACGACTACTACGAATCAACATACCAACAAACTGCATTTACAAAAGCTACTGTAAACTAATGGTGGAATAAATTGTGCTAGATGACAGAAGACTGCCGATGTCCTGATTCGTCCACTGCAGCTGCTTCAGCCGATGTTGAAGTCATAGTAGGGGGTACGCTCAGTCAGGGATGCAGACAAAGAGACACAAAATGACCACAAAGAGACAAAAAGAGAACCAAAACTACTACAAACAGACGCAAAAATGATCACAGACATAAAAAACACCTGCAAAGAGAAATAAAGTGACTACAAATGGACAAAAAGAGACAAAACTGATATAAGACACAGAAAGAAATATAAAATGACCACAAACGGCCATAAAACTACCACAAAAAGATACAAAATGACCACAAAGAGACAAGAAGTGACACAGAAATACTACAAAGAGATGCAAACTGACGACAAATGGTTATCAGATGACAAAAATTGACAAAAAGAGACACAAAACTACCACATAGACACATAAAATGACTGAAAATAAACTAAAAGAGACAAAACGAGACAAAAGAAGAGACAGAATGACCTCAAATGGACAAAAACGGACACAAAACTTCTACAAAGAGACTTAAACCAATTATAAAGAGACTCAAAACGGCTATAAAGAGACAAAATGACAACAAAGAGACACAACATGGCTACAGAGACATGAACTGAATATAGACAGACACAAAGTGACCACAAAAAACAAAGAGACACAAAACTACCAAAAAGAACCACAAAACAGCTGCCAAGAGACACAAAATGCCACAAACAGACGCAGAACTACCACAAAGAGACACAAAATGATCACAGAGAGACAAAACAACTGCAAAGAGAAATAAAATGACAGCAAATGGACACAGTGAGACACAAAACCAGCACAAAGAAACACAAAATGACCACAAAGAGACACAAAATTAATACAAAAAGATGTGAATTGACTACAGCAAGACACAAAATCCACACAAATGGATATCAGATGACACAAATGGACAAAAAGAGACACAAAACTACCATAAAGACACATAAAATGACTGCAAAGAAACATAAAAAGACACAAAACAGCTGCCAAGAGACACAAAATGACCACAAATGGATATCAGATGACAAAAATAGATACAAAACTATCCCAAAGACACACAAAATGACTTCAAATAGACAGAAAACAACCACAAAAAGACACAAAACAACTCCACGGACACACAAAGAGGAATTTGCGTCTCCCCTTCATGTGACCCAGATTCGTCTCACCAGGTTTATCTTTCAGCCTGATGGATGTTAAACCTGCGTCACTCAGAAATGTTCTGTATTTATTCCAGCGGTTATTTCCGGACTGAATGCGAGGTGTCCGCTTTCAGCTGATGCTCCGCCACTACATCACCCAGAATGCCCTGCGACGGCGACTCAGACAGGAAGTGGAGCTGCAGACGCTGCGAGCCAATAGGAAGAGAGCAACGAGGACGTATGATGACAAGAGAAAGAGACACCTGATTGTGAACATGGAGGTTTTCATGGAACAATCTGTGCCTTAAAAATAGGTGATAGATGTTAGAAATCACCTGTAAATGAAGCAGCCAAGAAGAAACGCAACGTTAACACAAATAGAAAACAAAAGGTTCCACTTTCAAGGACCAGTAATTAAAGATGTGTCCTCTGCTGGATCAATTTAAACATATTGATCATTTTAAAACTATTCTGTTAATCAGGATTTTTATTTCTGGAGAACCATGAAAATGGCTTCACAGTTTGTTTGTTGTTGTTTTTTACATTTGGGCTGAAAATACAAAAATTCCCAGGTCTGAAAACCAAAATATTTCACAGAACTTACTCTTGAGTCCTTATTAACAAATAAAAAACAGCACAGCAACGTATTTATTCAGTTTTATCTGAACTGACCCATAAATAAACACTTGTTTCAGCAGAAAATGTTGAACCTCACAGTTTATATCAGGCCTAATGTTAACACACCTGTGCTCATACCACATTATTAACACCTTGTGTGAACACTTTAGGTGTTTCAGGCGTTCTGTTGCTGAGATTGCTTATGTTTTCCTCAGCATTGAGGTGTTTTTAACTTCAAAAAGCGTGACTTGTGACCTCCACTAAATCTACTGTTGAGTTTCTTAACATAAATAAAGGCATTTCCACGGCAAACGGATGCAGAAAATACACAAATTGGTGCTCAAATGCAAAACATAAATAAAAAACTAACACTTAATGTGTCCACCCCAACATTTGAACTAAAACTGCATGTGTCTCGCTGCAGCTAACGGAGGAGGAAGGACCATAATAATTCTTCATCTACTGTATCTTCGTGTCATTTGGCTTCTTTTTAGTTCATTTTACTTTCTGCCTTCTGTTTCCAGCCTCCTGCTCACACGTCTGATAACGCTGATGTTCAGTAACAACAAGGACATTCATAATAACGTCGGCATAAGAGTGATGACCGACCTGTTCCTGCTGTTTGTACACTGACGGCAGCCTGACAGACGGGAAAATACAAGATTACAGACTGGAGCTGCTGTCATTTCTCATTTCCCAGGTGATGGATGTGATCAGGACACGGAAGGTTACAGCAGCACAGAGCGGAGCAGAATGCTAATCTTCTGTCTCTTCCTTTTCCAGTATCATTTAATGGAAATTCAAGGTTAACTTTGCACTCATGCTTTGAAGTCATATCTCCGTTTTGTAGTATTGTTATTATTATTGCAGCTTAAAGCTTTATTGCTGCTAAACATTCTCACAACAGAGGTGACTTTAAACATTTAATGGTAATACTCTGACCTCTAATGGCTAAAATCAGAAATGCACATGACTTTTAATGGGAAAAATGGGGAAATAAAATTTGTAATGCAGTTTGCTGACGGAAGCCATCATAATATAATAAAGGGAGAGTTTATTATTTGTCCTTAATATAAAGTTTTATATTAAAAATTTAAATAAAAGTCACTTTGGAGGTTTAAAAATATACCATGAAGATGTCAAAGAAGAGTTTCAGAAAACTCAACAAAAGTTAAAAACAAAAAACAAAGCAAAACAAAACAAAAACATGAAACCGAGGGAAAAAATCGATAACTGAACAGTTCGATTGAGTGTGAATCGATTCCTCTGGTCTGGAACTCCTTGCAGCGCTCTGATTGGCCCACACTCCCAGTGGTGCGCTCTGATTGGTCCACACGTTCGGGCGCGAAAACAGGAAAACCAGGAAGAAGAGCTGTAAACAGCGGTGGAGGTTTAATATCTCAACATTTCACTAAATCATTCTGCCGCTTACTACTTTTGGCGTCTTTTTACCCACAAATGGACGCTCAGTCGTATCTTCCCGTCCAACCCGGAGTCGGAATGGAGGAGAACTTCTTCTCTCTCGACGACATTTTGCTGTCTCATGAGAGGCTTCCTGTCCGGACGGAGTGCACCTTCCCCCGGCTTGGGTTCCTGGAGAAGTCGAGCGACTCGCCGGACATCCCGGAGGTCGGTAGAGTTGCACCGATATATTGTATTAAACGTAGTGACCGTAAAATTAATGTAAATAAACTCACCTGAGGATAACTTGCATCTTCCAGAACGCTCCTCAAAAATCACACAGATATATGTATTTTGTTATGTAAACAACTTAACTCCGCGCCAAACTCCATTCAGTTTTTGTGTATTTTTATTATTTCGTCCTTTTGTTATTAAAGACACGTATCTAGGATGCAATTATTAAACTGTTCAAGAATTAATATTACTCACTTGTAAATTCGGCTCATGCATTAACGTAGAAAAACACAAATAATATCAATAAAAGCCCAGTTTTTCCTCAAGTAATCATTGCGCAGTTAGAACACTGTCACCTGTTAAAGGTAAATGTTTAGCATAATAAAGTGTTGTTTGGTTGGTTTTTGATTTGCTGACTTTAACAGAAAGTACTTTTAAACATTGATGAGAAAGCACAAGCTAGTTAAAGATCTGTAAGTGTGTTTGAAGATAAATAAAAATGATTAAAAAAAAAAGTAAAGTTACCAGATTTGAAATTAATAATATGATATCTAGCAAGCAAGATTACTTATGTAGCACCTTTTCATACACAGATTATTCAAGTGCTTTACAGGCAAAAAATACCATAAAATGCATCAGGTTAATAAGAAAATTCAAAATACGATTTGATTAAGTTGAATAAATCAAAAACCATGTAAACAAACTGAATAAAGCGCACACATATTTAGGAAAATTGTTAAAACTGATTCACTAAAAAAGTAGAAAAAGACAAAAGATGAGAAGAAATTATTGCTCGTCCAGAAAATATCCTCCGTCCTTCGTTTCAGGGCACAAAGATGGAGCTTCCTGTGTGGCTGTCGAAGGGTCTGTACGAGAGGAAGAGGAGGGTTCTGTCCGTGGAGCTTCCTAAGGTTTACAGAGAAGGCTGGAGGACCGTTTTCACCGCCGACCCCAACGTGGTCGACCTGCACAAGATGGGACCTTACTATTACGGTCTGGGCTCCCAGATGCTGCACTTTGAGAGCCCAGAGAACCCAGACATCGCTCAGACCCTGCTGCAGGTCAGTTAATCAACACGACAAGAGATGGAAGTCAGAATTACACGTCACTCTTGGCGGTGGCATCAGTCAGTTTATAGTAATGATGCCTTTATTTATTTAGCACCTTTTAAAAACAGAGTGAGTTCTTTACAGACGAGGCAAAAAAGAAAAGAAGGAAACTCAGGAAGCACACTGAACAACAGAAGTGCGGTTAGTCCAAACAGGAGGAGAAAGATTAGACAGGCAGAAGTGTGGAAATAGAGATAAAAACATGCTAAAACCTGATAAAGTAATAAAAGGCCACATCCAAGTAAGGGAAAGAACAAGTGGAACAAATGAAAATAGAAGATAAACCCGTGAACACTGGGCGAAAAATCGTAATAATAGTAGTATTAGTAAATAAGGAGGGAATTAAATGAGCAAAAAAAATAAAGTTGAAAAAAAAATCCCTCAGATGACAAAAATAGACAATAACAGTAATGATAATAATACCCAGGTGCACAGCGGACACCCAAAAAATAGTCGATATGTAAATGAGAAAAGCGTCCTTGTTGCACACATCATTTACAGCAGATTTATTTCTGTGCAAATGAATAAAATCAGAGTGTTTGTGACCTTTGGGAGGTGAGACAGACCTTCAGCAGAAGGAAGAATATCATAGTGTGGACATTAGGTGGGTAATGAGCTGAGAACTCACGTGTTCTTTTAAATTCCTGCCATCATGTGTAGCTTTGCGTGCAGACAGTCTGTACATGAAAACATCCTTTCAGTCTCACTTATGTTAAAAAAAAACATTTGGGGAGGAACAGATTCAACAGAATTCACTCCAAACTTCCCCTTTTAAACGTGACGAGGACGTTTGCTTTCACGGGAATACCTGTCACACTGCCTGTTCAGACGGAGTGAGGATGATTCTTAGCTTTTATTTATCAGTTAAGGATCATTATTATATTATATGACTATATTATTGGTATAGTATTGTCATGTTCCACCACTCTAAAGTGTTGATACCAAGATTACATGCAAACATTAATTGTTGACTCCTCACTTTCTAAATATGTCAGTAAATTTGTGGTAAAAAATTAAGATAAATACATGTTGATTTATGCAAGAATCCAGATGTTTTTGTAAAGATATTAGAGTGTTACAGAAACAAAGGGTCTAGTGGGTATGTGTTGGGAACATCAGTAGAAAATAAACTAAAATAATACACTTAATTCTTGCAGGATTTCTCATCTAAATGCAGCCCGTGTTGTTTAATAGTTGACAGCTAGAGGGAGCAGTCGGCTCAGAAAACACGATGTTGTGAAGCTGTTACCAGGCAGACTGACTTCGATCTCATTATCTGACCGACAGAAACGCTCGTCACCTGTAGGTCTCTGACCTCACAGGCTTCATAAGAGAATCTGTGATGCTGAAAATTATCCTCATGTCATTGTTTTTTTTTCTGATGCTTCAAGTCAAATCAGGAAGCTTGATAAAAAGATGTGTTTGCTGCTCATGGCTTGTTTATCTGCTCAGATAACTGCTGCTAATAACTCTTAAATATCTGCATTTTGACGGATTAAAGAAGCAGAAATGTCAAAGTGGAAATTAAGAATTCCGTCTGATAGACAGTTTTCTGGTTAATTGGAGAAATTTTCCACCAAAAATGACAAAAAAAAAATCTCCTCTTCAGCTATTAAATTCCAGATCTTAAAAGATTTTCTGCTTATTTCTTTTCTAAAGTGAAAATGTTTGAATTTTAGACCGTTGGTCGACCCAAATATGTTTTTCTTACGACGTACTTTAACATGTCAGAAGTTGAGGAAACGTCTGGACACTCTTTGATGTGGCTGCCAATATTTTTACGATTTTAGTTTTTGAAGATTTGCAGTTTAGCCTAAAGGCAAAAAAACATGAAATTCTAAAAGTTAAATTTTATATCAAAGGTGGCCAGAACTGGGTCGCTCTGATTTAAAAACGCTGCCTTCATGTAAAATACATCGACTGCGACACTTGGAGCTCGAGTGTTCTGATCTGACGGGTCACCCGCTGTCCTCCGTCCAGACCTTCATCGGCCGGTTCCGGCGGACCATGGACTCCTCCCAGAACGCCTACAACGAGGACACGTCGGCGCTGGTGGAGCGACTCGACTGTCTGGAGAAGACCCTGTTCCGGTCCGGCCAGAGCGGCCTGAACGGCTTCCAGAGCTGGGAGAAGGGCCGGGCCTCGACGCTCACCGCCTCCAGCCTGGTGCTCAACTACCGCAAGAGGAAGATCAACGACGTTCAGCCCTGATCGGTCGTGAATATCGGAACGTGGCGGCAGAACCTTCTTTGTCCACGGATAAGTTCTTCCTCTCAACCCGAGTCATGCTGCCAGAGATGGGACTCTATACGGACTACACACACCTTTATATTTATTTAATCCAACCATTCTGACCAGTTTGTGACGGACATCCAGTCGATCTACACACGTTCTGTTCCTGTAATTTTGTTTGTTTTTATCAGTAAAAACACAGCTGCTTGTTTTTTCTGTTTCACATCATTACAGGTGGGTTCTGTAGGGATCTGTAGGTGGGTTTACTGAGACCTGCTGCTAGAACTGGAGATATTAACCCTCTGAATCGCTGCTAGTCTTTACTGTAAGGCCTGAATGTGACATAAAGCCACTCTGGAGGCTGAACCTGCAACATTTTCCTGTTTATCAGAAGTAAATATGCTAATTTCATGCTAAAATACTCCTGCTTACCCTCATCCAGCTGGTTAGAGGATAGATTTTTACTGATCTTGGTTCTTCCCTCCTGGTCCCAGCTGATTCTCCATCACTGACTCAGTTGCGAGAGGTTTCGGATGAACTGCAGGCAGTGTTTCCACAGAGCAACCAAGAGGAAAATTTTTAAAATATCTGTAGTGTGTGGAGATAGAATCGAGACACACAACAGTAGAAAAGAGACAAAACTGTGGCAAAGACACACAAAGTGACAGCGACAAGAGAAATGAGATGCAAAAGGAGAAAAACTACAAACAAAATGACAGAAAGGAGATAAAAGTGTCCCAAAGCGACATGAAACAACACAAACGAGACAGAAAACAGCCACAAAAAAGACCAAAATGAGACACAACGACAGAAGGGAGACAAAACTATTTCGCAGAGAAAATGATATAATTAACACTCACAAAAAAAAAAAACGTCCTAAAGGCACATAAAGCAACTGAAGAGGGACACAAAAAACAGAAAGGAGACACAAAGCAGCAGCAAAAAAGGAAAAAACAAGAAAACAGAGACACAAAATGACCACAAGGAGACAAAACTGTGTCATCGTTTGTAGAGTAAATAGTTAAATATCTATAATATGGAGGCGACATATTTTTACCAGACTCACTAACAGCCGTGGACACTTGGAAACATGCTGGACTTTTTATTTTTGTCAAATAATTAAAAAAAATGTACCTTTTTTTTGTCTGATTTCCATCATTCTGACTGAGTCCTGCTGACAGAAGACATTTCTGAGTTCTCGCTCTTCTTCTTCATGTGTTCCTGTTGAGGTGCAGGACTTTTTATATCGCAGAAAGGTCAGAAGGTTAACGTTTTAGTTAATGTTTGGTGAAGTTTAGGCTCTAAAACTACCTGGTTTGGGTAAATGAACTCTTTCACAACCTTCTCCTGTAGTGGAAGCACAAGCTGAGGACGTCTGGCTTCAGACTAATGGAGCCTCTTTGTGGTGTTTACAGATCTTTATCGGACTGTCACACTAAGCCTTGTGTTTAAAAATGACGCTGCAGAGCAAATGTGGCACAAAGGAGACGAAGCAGCCGACCAGGCGTTGGTAGAAACAGTGAAGCTAAATATGGTTATTGAACATGTGAACAGAAACCAGATCCAGTGTTCAGACTGGGACACCAGGATGGATGTAGAACTGATCTGGTGTCAGGTTCTACCAGAACTCAGATGTGTTCTTC